GTACGAAAGTTGGCTTGTTTGATATTATGAAGAAATTGCCCCATTCTTGCTTCTAGATCACATTTTCTAATTACCTGTCGCACAATGTTTCTGGTCTCACTACTAATCGTCTGCCCTCTTTTCCGAGATTTCATAGCGTATTTATAGTATTTAATAAACTTAAATATGGCAAAAAATAATAAAATACGGCAAAAACTATAACAAAAACACTATCTAACACACACCAAGTAACAATGCAATATCAAACCGAATAAGATTACCACGTACTCTCACTAATGTGACACACAGAACAAAAACAATAGCGCGTAGAAAGAAACGTCTTTCGTTTCTTTGAAGAAAGATCTCTGCTTGCAGCATAGAACGCTTTTTCAGCGTTACAAGGAAAAGCGTCCTTCCTTTCGATTTTTCAGCAGATGACAATTTGTTAGAAACGAACTTTTTGGCGGGACAGCTGAGCGGAAGTAGAGGTCGCCACAAATTCTATGTGAGATCCCCGCACGTGGGAGCATTCCCAATATTTAATATCACTTGTAACGCACAACAAATTATTGAATTATTACTTGAGAGAAATCAAGAAGCTACTGAGCATTGTACACAAACAATTTAGCAGAATCAGTTATATTATATAACTCAGTTTGTCGTTAAGAATTATTGAAATACAATAATGACTATAACTTGCGAATAAGATCAAACAGGGCACATTTTCATATGAACTTTTTATGATATGTGAATATGGTAATGTACAGTGATTGTTTTTCAATGTGTTATTGTGTATATTGTATATTGTGCTTTCATTTGAAGGTAAAGAATATTTCTTATAGTTACTGGACACATTAATTCTTCAAATGTAAGCATAACTTCATGTTATTTATTTTAATTAGTGTTATTAATTGTTGTATGGACATTTGTTATATCTTTATTCTCAGATGAAAATATCTCGAGATTAAATATTCGGAATGTTACGTTAAAGTTGTTGAATTTGTCTTTTTATGCTTTGTAAGAATATAGAAAAAAATATACCGTAACAGTTGCAAAAATACCGATGACCTTAACATCTCGAAAAAAATGACTTTGAAGAGATTCTTCTTCTTATCATTTTATTCATCTCTTCGAACAATTTATCTTTTCCCTAAACAGTTTTTTCATATGTATAGTCACTCACAGAATTGAGCGTACACTCATGTTGGTAGCGAAAATTGGCGGGAGAATGGATAAAAATATACATATTTGAATATAAAAATGCAATATATATTTATTCGTATAGTTTAGGGAACGATTAGTAAAAAAATTATTTAAATAACATTAACTGTTTGCTTATATTTAACTGAAAATGTAAAAATACTGGTATGATTCTCTGCAATCGTGAACGCAAGGAATTTCACAATGAGAACTGTGACATATCCATCTTAAAAAACATTTGTACATGTTTGGATACAACATGAGGATAGAATAGATGACATATTAGAGATTAATGTAAATGTGATTTTGTTAACAGCGCAAATAAATAAGTACAATTTAATTTTAATTGTATAATTTATAAATATACCTCATATCTAAAAAGATGTACGTATTACTATGTACTTGCAGAGAAAATAATGAATGCGAAAAAGTACCTTAATACTATCAACAAAAATTTTCGTAAGGAGTAATATTAAAAGCGAATCTCAACAAAGATATAATGAAGTAACGAATCGCGTTATTCATTAAACCGTTAGTATGAAACGAAGAAAAATAGTAGAAGAATTTTCTGTTTCAAAAACTTCTAAAGTATATTAAATATTGAAATTCTATTTTATTAAATAACGATTTTCAAAGAGTATGTGAAATGCACTTCGTAACAAGTAGTTGAAAAAGGTGGTAACTCTAAAAAAAGGATAACATAATGCTAAATAATTATTGTTAGTTAATATTAATTTACATTACTGTTTAAGCGTTTTAAGTATTATTTGATAAAATATTGATCAGACATGCTTATGTAGTATCGGGGCCTCCGTACCCAAATAGGAAACCTCGAAGGGAGAATAGAGAGGGAGTGGTTGGCGTAGCACGCAAAGCCTCGGCTTGTGCTAAGCCGAAGGTCCCGTGTGTTCGATTCCCGTTGGGTCCCTCAATATTTTTCCGTCGTCGGTTCTTACATATGGGATGAAGGCATCTCTACGACGGCTACACGAAGCCAGGAAATGTGCGATGAAAACATGTCGAGGGTTTTGCTGCTGCACGTCTCCCAAAAATGCGTTGTTTCGGCTGTGTGCCCGAAAATGTTGAGTTGTGTTGCACTGAGGACATTTTCGAGGACGAATGTCAGTTCAGAATGGCCGAGTGTAGTATTGGGGCCTTCCATACCCAAATAGGAAACCGACAAGGGAGAGTAGAGAGGGAGAGAGTGGTTGGCGTAGCGCGCAAAGCCTCGGCTTGCTAAGCCGAAGGGTCCTGGGTTCGATTCCCGTTTTGGGTCCCTCAATATTTTTCCGTCGTCGGTTCCTACACTTATGATATACTTACAATAGCATCGGATAACGTTTAAGCTAAATTATGCAAATACCAGTTGATTACATTTGAATAATAATTAAGTTTTCCATTGGTACGTTTTATCTTACATTTTATGTTATAAATTAAATGCAAAAGAGAAATATATACATATTTATAATATTGATTTGTCAACTTGTATAAAATATAAAATGTGTCAAAAACCACACAAGGATACCTACTAATTCTTAAGTGAATGTATGATAAAATCTACATATAAGAGACATGCCTACGTATACATACAAGGTGTTGCGAAAACATTGGTGCAAATTACACAAGTTAATGGAATTCGTTGAAAGAAACAGAAAAGTCTTGTTCCGGAAATAGCTGTCCTCCGGATTTTAGTTCGTAAACGAATTAAATCTTTATTCGATTAGACTTTAGATTTCGATTAGATTAGTGTTAGATTTTATTCGGTCAGAATTCGATTCTGTGCGTAATAGAATGCACTTTTTATGAAAAAAAATTCTCATTGAGATGGTATAGAAAACTATATTTGAGAAAGAAAGCGCAAGATAAAATTACGATCAAGCAACAGTCCAATATATTAACGATACGCACTTCCGTTCATAAGTATTAGGACATTTATTGAATGTAAACCAAATCTAAACAGTCATTACAAAATTATTAAGATTCAAAAAGGAAATGTTCGAAATCGCCTTCAACTTATTCTGTTAATATGTATTTGAATATAGGAAGACGTTATTTCACCAACTATGCTTCTGAGAAATGCGTATTGTTTTTTGTATTGCATTAAAATGTCTCCTTACGATAAACCTATAGAAGACACAACTTTCGCCCGCGATTTCGTGCAGAAAAATATGAAAATCGCCCGCGGCTGAAGGGTTAATATTATTTTCAACTCAAACTTTACACTATAAAATATTCCTGAGTATTTTACAACTTGTAATTTTTATTGTATACATTTATGCCCTTGAATTCATTTGCCTATTGTAATTGCTATGATTAATCACAAATTGTGTATCTTTAAATTCATAAACAAGAAAACTGGGAAAAAATACTAACACCGAAGGATGAGAAGCGGAAAATAGGCAAAAATCACGGTAATAGAAAGAAGACCAACGGAGTTTTTCGATTCTGGTTCTTTCAAAACTCCATAAATGCACTTAAAATCTCGCATATACGAAAGTGGAAGCCTTGGGAACACGGCTACTCATGTTCTGTTTAGTAAGGGTACACAGTGACGTGAGATGCGTTTACCTGGACTTTAAACACTTAAGCCTGTCATTTTTGTTCCGTGCAACGGGTTCGATCCTTTTTCCTTTTGTTTGCTCGTCCTCTTTTATTTCCCCCGTTTTCCGCTCTTTAAGTACCCGTCTACCTAGAACCTCTTTATATTCCCGCATTCTGGACCGGTTTTTGATCGCCTTTCTATGCATCTATTTCCTGTCTTATGTTCAGTTTAAATGTCTATGAATAATTTATATCGAAGTCGAGCCGTTTTTGTTACTTATTTCAGTAAATGCAATTAGTATGTATTATGTTAATAATGATGATACCAAAATGTGCCGTTTCAAGATGTAACGATGTCATTAACGCCAACTATGAATAAATAAATAATTATATAAAGAAACATTACGAATAATTGCATTCTTTATCCTTGTATTTTAATCCTTGTATAGTCTAACATTTTTATTTGATAAGGTTGTTAG